GACCAGGTAAGTGATTAACACCTGTGTGTTAGTGGTTCCTTCTACCAGGTAACCGTAAGGAATTTACATCTGTGTGTTAGTAGTTGCCTCCACCAGGTAAATAATTAACACCTGTTTATTGTTAGCTACCTCCTTTAGCAGGTAGGTGATTAGTTATAATACCTGTGTATAATAACTGGGGGGTCGATTCATCGATGTATTGATGTTGGTGAGTCCCAGTTGAATGTATAGTTTGCTGGGTAGTTTCTCTTGAAAGTGTCACAGTACATATCGCAAAGGCTGTATCATGATACGGATCGTATTGTGAGCTACCTGTATCGTCCCGCCCCCTAATTATAAGTAGTTTTATTTCAAGGTAGTTGATGTGAACTAGTAGCTTTTATAGCAGATTGCTTACTGGCTAGTTTCATCTTTCACATGATGCAGATATGCATTTCATCTTTTTCTTCATCGTCGTTTCATCTTTGTCAGATTCTTCGAGGGTTAAAGTACATCCACTCGGCTAATGTGCTGCATAGAGACCTGAAACCAAGCAACCTGCTGCTGAACACCACCTGTGATCTTAAGGTAGGCACAGTTACTCACCTCACCTGCTGAACACCACCTGTGATCTTAAGGTAGGCACAGTTACTCACTGTGTGTGTGTGTGTGTGTGTGTGTGTGTGTGCGTGAGTGTGTGTATGTGTGTGAGTGTGTGAGTGTGTGTGTGTATGTGTGTGTGCGTGGGTGTGTCTTCTTTGTTCATGATACCCGGAGCGATTATCCACATTTAAAGCCCTGTGCGTTTATCTCAGTGTTGCATTACGTGTAATTAGACGGCATTGTCGGCACCGCAAAGTATTGAATCTGTTAAAAGCACCTGAGTTTGTGAATTCGTCTGCCGCTCCGGAATCTGAGGAACTCTAGAGGATAACCTTGCCGGCGTGGCGCGTTGACCGTGTATACATTTTCAGACAAGTGTGCGTCCCACGTTTCTTTTTTGTCTGTTCGTTGCCAACGTAAGCTTAGCCACGGACTATGCACCCAGGCACGCACGTATACAAGCACGCAACGCGTTCTTCTATCTACTTGAGCAAACGTTGATGCGCTTAACTCTCTCTAAATGCTGTATGAATCGCCGCGCAGTGCACTCATATGGTTGGTGGCCTGCTAGTTTAGTGATCCTGTGTGAGTGAGCCAACACAGTAAGCGTGCTTGGTCGTTAGTGCAACCCCTATGTGTGACTGAGCAGAGCCTGCGCTACCCGCCCCCCCCCCCCGTGATCGCTGGTTGCTGACACGTACACCTCGTGTAATCTATTCACGCAGTTAATAAGTGCGTTTATGATGATTTACGTGCTTTTATTGTGTCGCGTTGGCAGTGATGCGCAATAACGCGTCGTTACTTTGTTTATTCTACTTGCTGGTCACCACAATGATCCATCCACCACACTCTCCACCCACCAGACACTCCATCCACCAGACACTCCATCCACCAGTCTGTCCAACCACCACACTCTCCACCCACCACACACTCCCTCCACCACACTCTCCACCCACCACTCTCCATTCACCACACTCTCCACCCACCACACTCTCCATCCACCACACACTCCATCCACCACACTCCATCCACCACCCTCTCCACCCACTACACTCTCCATCCATCCACCACACTCTCCACCCACCACACTATCCACCCACCACACTCTCCATCCATCCACCACACTCTGCACCCACCACACTCGACCCACCACACTCTCCACCCACCACACTCTCCATCCATCCACCACACTCTGCACCCACCACACTCTGCACCCACCACACTCTCCATCCACCACCTTCTCCACCCACCACACTCCATCCACCACACACTCCACCCACCACACTCTCCACCCACCACACTCTCCATCTACTGCTGCTGCTACATCTACTGCTACTGCTACTGCTGCTACTACTGCTGCTGCTGCTGCTGCATTCGATCACGCGGCTTCGCTCGGGGAGCTAGATGCTTCGGCACTCGCGTCACTTGCGGCAGAAGGTGGACGACTGCTAGTGGCAGCAAGCGACAACGGCAGCAGCAGTCTGTAATGAGATGTAATTTGATGCCAGGTTGCGCTGATTTAGCAGGTGGTGTCGTGATGAAGCCGTGTGTGTCACAAGCAGTCACTAATTACGGTTTAAGTAGACACATGTAGCACGGGCCATGCAAGACACATGCACACTAAATCGATACACACTATCCATGCATTTAAAAATGCGTGTTTATGGGCAGCTGATTACTTCCATTAAAAATGTGTGTTCAGGAGCAGCTGATTACATCCATATTTCCCTAACGATGTCTCGTGATCAGATACATAGTGCAGTGCCTCATGGAGACAGACCTGTACAAACTGCTGAAGACACAACAACTCAGCAATGATCACATCTGCTACTTCCTTTACCAGGTAAGTGATTAACACCTGTGTGTTAGTGGTTGCTTCTACCAGGTAAGTGATTAACACCTGTGTGTTAGTGGTTGCTTCTACCAGGTAAGTAATTAACACCTGTGTGTTAGTGGTTGCCTCGACCAGGTAAGTGATTAACACCTGTGTGTTAGTGGTTGCTTCTACCAGGTAAGTGATTAACACCTGTGTGTTAGTGGTTGCTTCTACCAGGTAAG